ATTTAGTCAGCTGTTTCAATTAAAAAAGTTGGTTCTATGATATACAAAATCATTAAAAAGTTATAAGATTTACCAACAGGGTGCAGCACTATTATTCTTTTTGCATTTATGGAAACAGCTACTTTTACCTAAGCAGCAACAAAAAATGTGATACGCAATGAGAACTGTCAAAGTAGAACTGTTTACGTTTACAGTTATATTTATGTTTTTAATGTCATGGATAATTTGTGAATTTGTAATAATTAATTTTTCTTTATTGTTTAGGTGAAGTGGTAGAACATTATGGCTATGGTAGATGTTTGATACCATAGAATACCGTCAATTTAAAAAAGCAAATTTGATCAAACTTTTTCCTCACCCGTTGCAAACGCAAAGTTTGAGTATAACTGCAATAAGCATTTTAAACTTATATGCCAACCCCGTACGATGGACGGGTACTCTGCTAGTAGAACATAATATTACAAAACATGACACGATGCAGAAGAAAACCAATTTTAAAATCAGAAAAAAACATTGCAAATACTTCATTTTGACAAATTTAGTAAATCACAATTTAAATATTAACAGCTGTTTCATTAAAAAGTAGTGCAAAATTATGCATATGGTCGTAATGTAAACAAATCTGCCTAGGGAACTTTAAAGTCCTCTGGGGCAGAGCCCCGAGGAAATTTACCTCGTTTCTCTTTTGATAGCTCATCTACAGGCCAAGTCCTTTCTTTAGACACCCCTGCCAAGTTTCTACGCCCAGCCGTTCTCTCAAATTAGCTATGACTAAACCCCGTTTGTTCCCTCCATAAGAATAACATGGGATGGGAATTTTAAAGACCACTGGGGCAGAGCCCCAAGGGAATTTACCACATTTCTCTTTTGATGGCTCATCTACAGACCAAGACCTTTCTTTAGACACCTCTACCGAGTTTCTACGCCCAGGTTCTCTCAAATTAGCTGTGACAAAGAAAAACAGTTTCAAATTAATTGAGCGGAGCGAGCGAAGCGGGCGAAGCTCTTATACGTCGACTTTTATGCATTTCGTAATACGCAAACTCCTCCTAGACGGGTGAATCAATCGTTTTCAAATTTTGCATGGTGATAAAGACCATACCGGTGAGTGCCAACATCTATATGGCGTTAAAAAAGTCTCTCGGGAATCCGCCCCACTGGGTCTCAAAGTTTCAATGTAATCCTTATGGAAGCAGTATTTGACACATAAACAAAGAAATATGATCAGCTGATGACTTTTGAATGCAGTAGATAAATAAATAGCTGATGGCATTATTCCACAGATATTAGAACATAAACGGTGGTATGGATCAAAAATATAATCAAATGACGACACTAGCTTGAGGTCCGTGACGTAGGAAGTAGTAAAGGAAGTAGTAAAGGTGAGCAGTCTGGAGTGTGGAAACTGTTTAAGACGATTAGATTTAGGTAGGTATCTGCATTCCTAAAATTCTATGAAAAGGGAGGAAAACGGGTCCGTGACGTAGGAAGTGGTGAAGGAAGTAGTCAAGGCGAGCTGTCCGGAGTGTGGGAACTGTTTATGACAATTAGATTAAGGTATCTGCAATCCTAAAATGCTATTGGAAGGGAAGGAAACAGGTCAGCGACGTACTGTTTATGACGATTAGATAAAGATATCTGCATTCCTTAAATTCTATGGGAAGGGAGGAAAATGGGTCCGCGACATAGGAAGTGGTGAAGGAAGTAGTCAAGGTGAGCTGTCCGGAGTGTGGAAACTGTTTATGACGATTAGATTTAGGTATCTGCATTCCTAAAATTCTATGGGAAGGGAGGAAAACGGGTCCGAGACGTAGGAAGTGGTGAAGGAAGTAGTCGAGGCAAGCTGTCCGTAGTGTGGGAACTGTTTATGACAATTAGGTTAAGGTATCTGCAATCCTAAAATGCTATTTGAAGGGAAGGAAACGGATCCGCGACGTAGGAAGTGATGAAGGAAGTAGTAAAGGCGAGATGTTCGGGGTATGGGATCTGTTTATGACCATTAGATTAAGGTATTTGCAATCCTAAAATGCTATAGGAAGGGAGGAAAACAGGTCCGCGACGTAGGAAGTGGTGAAGGAAGTAGTCAAGGCGAGTTGTCCGGAGTGTGGGAACTGTTTATGACGATTAGATTAAGGTATCTGCATTCCTTAAATTCTATGGGAAGGGAGGAAAACGGGTCCGCGACGTAGGAAGTGGTGAAGGAAGTAGTCAAGGTGAGCTTTCCGGATTGTGGAAACTTTTTATGACAATTAGATTTAGGTATCTGCATTCCTAAAATTCTATGGGAAGGGAGGAAAACGGGTCCGCGACGTAGGAAGTGGTGAAGGAAGTAGTCAAGGCGAGCTGTCCGTAGTGTGGGAACTGTTTATGACAATTAGATTAAGGTATCTGCAATCCTAAAATGCTATTGGAAGAGAAGGAAACGGGTCCGCGACGTAGGTAGTGGTGAAGGAAGTAGTAAAGGCGAGATGTTTGGGGTATGGGATCTGTTTATGACCATTAGATTAAGATATTTGCAATCCTAAAATGCTCTTGGAAGGGAGGAAAACAGGTCCGCGACGTAGGAAGTGGTGAAGGAAATAGTCAAGGCGAGCTGTCCGGAGTGTGGAAACTGTTTATGACTATTAGATTAAGATATCTACAATCCTAAAATACTATGGAAAGGGAGGAAAACAAGTCCGCGATGTACGAAGTGGCGAAGGACGTAGTAATTAGTAAACGCGATATGTTCGGGGTATGGGATCTGTTAATGACCATTAGATTAACACTTTAACCGAAGCATAGGTGACACTAACGTAAATAGAAACATCCGGTCTCAGAGACCGAACGATTTTTCATCAACAAATTTCATGTAAAATCTTAGATTTAGCATTTTTTTGGATATGCGGGCTTAAGGAAAATAAAACATACATTTTTGTACAAATATATGTATTATAAAAGTAATATTAATTTACAAAAAATGTAATAAAATGTTAAAAAACATAAAACATACAATATACTGGAGACATAAAATAAAAAATAAAAATCTTCTCATTTGAACTTGTCTTTTACATACAGTCACAGTCTATGCACACTTTACGGGTTTTTTGGGTAAAAAAGAAGCCTTTGCATAAACAACTGCCTACAAAGACTGGCAGAGCGATATACATTACTCGAAAGATCCGGCACTAGAGACCGGCACGTTTTCAAAATGGAGACGTTCACTCAATGACCCCTGATTGAGGACTGATACTGATGGGTTGGTGGGTAGGGAGAAGAGTAGGAGGGGCTAAGGTACTGAGGGTTAGGGGTATGCACGTCCAGCAGTTTTGCCACTGCAGGAAAATAAATTTTCCCTCCGGTCTCACAGACCGGTGTTTCGGTTAAAGTGTTAAGGTATTTGCAATCCTAAAATGCTATGGGAAGGGAGGTAAACAGGTCCGTGACGTAGGAAGTGATGAAGGAATCAGTAAAGGCGAGTTTTTCGGAGTGTGGGAACTGTTTATGACGATTAGATTAAGGTATCTGCAATCCTAAAATGCTATGGAAAGGGAGGGAAACAGGTCCGTGACGTAGGCAGTGGTGAAGGAATCAGTAAAGGCGAGTTTTCCGGAGTGTGGGAACTGTTTATGACGATTAGATTAAGGTACTGTATCTGCAACCCTAAAATGCTATGGAAAGGGAGGGAAACAGGTCCGCACTGCTAACCTTTACTACTTCTTTCACCATTTTCTATTTTGTGGGCATGCTTCCATCCCTTCTCATAGCAATTCAGCATTGCAGATACATTAATCTAATTGCTACAAACGGTTTCCAGTTCCCAAACTCCACACATGCTCACCTTACTACTTCCTTCACCTCTTCTTACGTCGCAGACCTGTTTTCCTCTCTTCCCATACAAATTTAAGATTGTAGATACCTTAATCTAATCGTCATAAACAGTTCCCACACTCCGAAAAACTCGCCTTTACTTTCCTTCATCTCTTCCTACGTCACGGACCTGTTTACCTGTGAAGGAAGTAGTAAAGGTGGGCAGTGTTGATTGTGGGGATGGATTAATGTATCTGCAATGCTAAAATGCTATGGGAATAAACTGGTTAAAATGATTATGAAGCACGAATCGTTACATATTATTTCGATACGTATTCAATCGTTTAAAATAGAAATCATAGATAAAACATACTTCCATAGAAATTTACAACTGAGTTGACAACAGCTGAGTTTTACTCCATAGAGGCTAAAAACTAATTTTATTTCCTAAAGAGTAAAAATGCTACTTTAGACCCGGAACGCATGCATCAATGACGACTGTTTTTACTGCAGTATGACAACAATAATATAATATGAACCCTTGATGACTCCGCTCAATTTTGTGGATGCATCTGCGAACGCCACCTAGTATAGATAATTTTTAGTTATAATACCCCCGCCGCTGTAAACTTGCAGAAACGTCAGTCTTTCTTCTTCTCATCTGTCGTCAGTCGGTTCGGTCTGTTTTCCGTTAACTGTCTTCAGTGTCTTCTGTGCTTCTGTCTGTGTCTGTCCCTGTCGTACCGTAAAATTGTTCGTGGTGATGGTGATGATCTGATGGGTTTTTTTTTACATAGAGGATACGCGTCCGGTAACCGGACGTGGATAAGGCGTACGGCAATGACGTCATGGGGTTGCGGGAGCCTGGAACGCCTTTACCACAACAATACAATGACCAGCCATCGGTGTTCGTGGTGTAGTGGATAAGGTGCTCGGCTGATATGCAAGATGTCCAGGGTTCGAATCCCATTGATGACATTAACTTTTTGTCGAAGAGATTGCATTGAATACCATTTATTCTTAACTGTACATCTTTTATTAGAATTTTTGGCATTTATAATTTTTTATAGAGAAAGAATTTCACCTTAATTCGATTTTTTCACTATCAGCAAGTTTGGTTGGTTAGGTTAGGTTATGACAGTAATTGCCGGACGTCTAATCCACGTCCGGTTACCGGACGCGTATCCTCTGCCTTTTTTTTAAGTTGACTAGTTGATTGATAAACATGGCGGAATCCAAATTGCCCGCTGAGCGGGGTGGACTTTTGTCCAGTGTATTTTACGAAATAATATCCAGTCCACTTAATATTGGATTAGTTTTTGTTATAGCGTTTCTTGTCTACAAAATATTTAAGGTAAGGCAAGGTAATGATGACAACGTCACTCCAGCTGAAAAACCTCTTCCGAAGATGAAGAAAAGGGACTTTACTATCGAAGAACTGAGAAAATATGACGGCACTGGTGAAGACGGGAGAGTTCTGGTTGCAGTGAATGGAAAAGTGTTTGATGCTACTAGAGGAAAACGATTTTATGGGCCAGGTAAGTTAATAAATTCCCTTAATTATGGAATTCAATGTATTTCCAGTAACTTAGTTTATCAACCCTAACTTAGCCTAGCCTACTTGGTTTAATTGACTATGACTAGTCATTGCTCATCTTTACGAAATTAATTATTGCACGAACACTGACTGGCATATCAAAGGTCGTTTTCATTGCAAATAGGTGATTACATTACCAACACTTTTAGCCAGTGATAACCTACTTACACTGGTTTGTGGTTTCACCTAACTTAAGATACCTTAGGCTTATAAGTTTAAATGAAGTAGGCCTATCTGTGTTTGGATGTTATTAGACATAGACACAGGGTAAGAGCAAAATAAAATTCTTCTGCAGATGAATTATCTGTTGAATAAATATAAGCCGAATTATAAATGTCTCTTCAATGGGAGTTTTCTTGAGCGTTTTGTAACTATATGGGTAAGCTACATATATTTTTTTTTAAAGCTGCTGCTCAGTGTTCTTTAAGAATATATTTTTTAGGGATAAATTAAATGTTTTTTGTTGCTGAGCAGTGCTAGTAAACATGCACAACCCTTTTCGTTAGTCTAATAACATTCAAAGGCTCTCTAAGAGTTCAAGTTCTTATTTGTATACTATATTATGTTTTCACTAAGCTGAATGAATACATCGAAGTAACCTCTCTGAAAAGTCTGCAGTAAGTATATTGCTATAAGATAAGTTATTGCAGTTTTCCAGCTTAATGACTTTCTAACTTAAATCATGCACATTATTTCTACATTATAAATATTGGAAAATGTTTTATCCAGATGCTGTAAACCACTATTAATTTAACAAAATATGGACACGGCTCAAATGGGTACTGTGCCCTTATCTGCACTTGTACTATTTTGTATTGTATTACACAATCGAACATTTTTCCAAAGATTGAAAGCATGTATGACAATAATCTCATGAACCTATGATGATCTGCCTAGAATAATATGAATAATTGTAAGAGTTATTGTGATAAAAGGATTTTACACTGATTTCGTAATAGAACTTTATATTGCAACATATGACATGATACAAAAGAAATTCAATTTTAAAATCAGAAAATGACATTGGGAATACTTCTTTTGGACAGTTCAGTAACTCCCAATAAATGTGTGTTGTTTAAAATACAACTTTAAAATTAACAGCTGGTTTATTAAAACGTATTATCCACATGACCAAAATGTAAACAAATCTGTAGAGGCATCTTTAAAGGCTTCCGGGGCAGAGCCCTAAGCAAATTTACTTCGTTTTTCTTTTGAAAACGCATCTACAGACAAAGACCTTTCTTTGGACACCTCTACCAAGTTTCTACCCCCAGCCGTTCTCTCAAATTAGTGGAGACAAAGTTTCCAATTAAATATTTAGATTCCCCCATGTTAATCTTATGGGAGAAACCCCAACTTTGATGGAAGATCCTGCCCAAACTAATAAAGATATCAAAAAACACTTTGCAAAACTAGCCTACATATCAGGACAATTTTTTTGACACTTTAATCATCAAAATCAGTCCAAAAATGAGGGAGGAGTTCTGTTCACAAAAATCGGCTTAGCGTATTATATATATAGATTAGGCAGCAGACTAATAATGATTTATACATGTTTGTGTAGCCAATGAAGTAAAGAAACCAAAAAAAGTCATAAAGTTTATGGTAAAAATAATTTTTTATTTATAAATAAAATAATGTTTTTATATTTTAGCGATTTTGTGAAAAAAAATCATAGTATTTAGTGTAAAACTTTTGTACCAAATGTTTTTACTTCAAACCAACATAATCATCCTGTAGTGTATTCAATTACCTACATAAAAATGTATTGTTGGGTAACAATTTTTGTTTTTTTACGTGTTAGGGGCATAATAATATAATAAACGGAAAACCGCAAAATACAACCGCCAGAAAAATAAAACCTGTTATAAACACAATTTCACACTATTCAGTAAATATTCATGCATAATAAAATGCATGAAGATTACTGTTATACACACACACACACACACACACATTTCTCTTAACAATACAAAATAATAAATAATTTCGTAATAAATCGCGGATAAAACGAGAACGAAAACTCACCCGCAACAACACGCAATGGCGAATACAAGGCACTTTGTGCATGAGACCTTGACAGTAGTGACGCACTTTCGTCGTCTTCATGTGAGCAGGAAATAACCCTGAGCGCAGGGCTGCCACTATCACAAGCTACATTTCTTCCTCTTCAAAATGACATATTATATGACTAGTAATTATAACTTACACTGTATGTAATTTGTATTTTCCGAACTAGCGTTGGCTAGCGTTACGCTGGTTGGCCATTTGTTATAAATTTTGAAAACAGCTGTTTTCATAAAATCATACCTGTTGTGCAATCAATATTTCGTTCTAAATATCAATACGGTACCACAATGAAGATAAAATCAATGGCTATCCAGTGGTACCACGTCCACAACATCCCAAGACGAAAATTGCCCAAGCAGGGTAATGCCAAACAAATTGTTTTTTGACAGTTGCTATGTGTCAGCTGCAAAAGTCGTGCCACGCCAAAAATTCATTTGATTTATAATCGTCGTGACATTGTCATATACCTGCTACAGGGTTTGTTTGTATAATAAAATGAAAGTTCAGAATGTGATCTTTCGAACGGTAGCCTATATATATTGTTAACATCAGAGTTGATTATAAGCGGGTTTTCACCGTTAAACAAATTTCGGCCCATACTAGTTTATTACGCCGGTGGCCATTCTATGGCATCACGGCGAACGAGCGTATTACATTCTTACATTATTATTAGTAGCGTATTACATTATTATTAGTAGTGGGGAGAGAGCTGGTGTAGTGGTTAGAGCGCGGCACTTCCCTGAGGTCCCGGGTTCGATCCCCTCCAAGTCACCAATGGATTTTATCTAAGTGATAATGCTGCAACCCCTAGGTCTAGCCTGAAGTAATGTGAAGAACAATCCCAGGCTCGTGCCTAGTGTCCTAGGGGAAAAAAATTATTATTAGTAGTGTGTAATTTGTTGACAGGTGGGCCGTACGCAGCATTTGGAGGGAGGGATGCTTCCCGAGGTCTGGCGACATTCTCGGTGACTGGCGGCAGTGATACTTACGATGACCTCAGTGACCTCAGCCCTATGGAGATGGACTCTGTCAGAGAGTGGGAGATGCAGTTTACAGGTAAACACTGGACCTAGCCTAAGAGGAATTTCACTTTTATCTAAATAGCAATGTAAATCTGGGATTGGCAGGAGTTTTTACTTAGTACGTTATTATTTATCCAACCAACATTACTTACTTTTTTGTAGGCCTACTATTATTAGCTAACATGTTGTTTATGCTTTTTAATTGTGAAATTTTGTTTATATCTAGTATTGTACTTGTGCAGGGTGTATACCAACCGGGAAAACTGGGAAAATTCTTGAATCTGAAGAGACCCGGGAAAACCCGGGATTCTGTAAGAATCCAATCATTCAAATTTTTTCCAGTTGATTTGGATTGAGTTTTAGTGTATGGGCCTTTGGGCTTAGAGGAGAAAAACAGCATGTTTTTGTAAACCTGTCTAAAAAAAATTACTTTATTCTGCCGTTGTAATTTTGCAGAGAAGTACGATTATGTGGGTAGACTGTTGAAGCCAGGAGAGGCACCTAACAGCTATTCAGATGAGGAAGACGAGCCAAGTGCTACAGATGTAGCGGACAAGTCTAAAGACGACTAAAACAATGATGTGCGTGCAACTTTTAAGCTACTCTAGATATTCTAGACCTTATGCAGGTTTTATCACTAAATCTTGGAATAAACCACGGTGGTGGCTAGTTGTATCATTTTGTGTTGTGGAAATTCTATTAGGTAAGGGTCTTTTGTATAGACTAGTGTAAAAAACACATGCTGGGTCGATTTTCATCAGCAGTTACGTTACCTAAAGAAATAAACAAATAATATATTCCTAGTGTTAAATGTTTCAAGTTAAGTGTCAGGAGAATTTCTGTATGTCTGTAAAGTAAAGCCACCCACAGTAAAACAAATGTAAATGTGAATTGTGATCTTAAAACTTTCGATAAGTTTTAAAAATGGTACCATATCTTGGGTACTCTGAGTTGAAAATTATTATAAAAGATGAAGTCTATTAGAAGATGTATATTTTATGTATCATTTATCAGCCTGGCTCTATATTATATGTGTAATTATTTGTTGGCCTCATTCAATTCTATTAAATTTATGTTTTAAAGGTACAGTATATAGCGCTCTCTTTTAAATGATTTCTTTTTAATATTAAATGTTTGCAGTTTTGCAAACATATCTTATTATTGTTTTTTTTTTCAATGCACTCTTCAATATTTAATCATTTTTCTATAAATAAAAACTTAGCAGTTGCACATTCTAACAATTCTGTTTCGCTCTCCAAATTCCCTTAAGCGTTTGTTCTGCTAGTGATGCTAATGTTGGTACTATATTGAAACTTGTAAAATGAAAGTTACAGTGTAACCTATAACCTAACTCCTTGTATTATCTCAACTGCCAATGTCCGTTAATGCGGAAGACACACGTGTATGAAATCCGAGGACACCTGTATTCTGCCTTTAACATGTTATTGTCCCTTTGTACGTTGGTTTGGTTAATAACGGCAAAGGAGAAGAACCAAAGATTGGGTCACCAATTGTGAGACTGAAGAATAATACATAATTACGACCACAAAGTGTGTAGCTTATTTCAAGGATAATTCAAGCTCGAAACTGATGGTATCGCCAAAGATTATTTTGTCAATTGACTAACTAAAGAAGAGTTAAATCACATAATGAAGAAAACGGTTTTCTTTGTTTTTGTCAAGTCAATTGATATAGTGACAAACTTTTGTACCAAACCAGTGTGAATAAAACAAGTTTGATTTTTTTTTTATGTTTATATTTTTTTCAGTCTACAAGGCTTGCATAATTTAATGGGAACAGTCTTGAAATTTGCCTTAAGCTTACAGACCTAAATTTTATAAATGAATTTCTGATGATTTAACCCCTTAACAAGACCTGAAATCTAAACACATTTGAAGCTGTTTAAGACCTTTTAACCAAATGTTAGATTAAAATACAAAATAATTGATTGATACAATTAATTGTTAGTATTTAAAAAATTGAATTTAAATTTTGTATGTTTTACCACTTAAAGAAAGTGCAAAGTTGTTAAACTAAATATATCTATTTATTTTTATAAGCTGACTAAAGCTGCATAAATTCCTTTAGTTTGTATCTAACTTACTTTGGTAGGCCTATATCTACTATGGTCATATTTTACAAATCATAGCTTATATGACCTATAAAAATACTTTTTAAGATTCAAATAAATCTATTTTGCTGTTATAATTTATTTTTAAAATTTGGAAAATCCATTTGAGAAAAATATCATCTAGTTTTAGTTATAAAAAAGACTTTTAGGGCTACTTTAATTTGTGAGGGTATGGAGCATTCTCCTTTAGTAGTTACATGTCAATGTAGGCAGGCCTATAGCATAGTAGTAAGTTAATTCCAAATTTTAAATATTCAAGTTAGGGATTATTTTTGCAGTGAAGTATACAAATGTTTTCTAAATTGTAATGTATTTTCTTTAATATAATTTGATGATTTTCTTTGTTATTTTGTGATGATGACAAGGCTGATTAGAATAGAACAAGGTAATGCATTTCCAACAAATATCATGCATCTTATTGATTTTGTATAATGTATAATCAATTTTGTGTCCTCATTTAAAAATTTGTTTAAGTATTTTGATAAGCAAACATTTCATCCCTAAAAAATATTTTAACCCTTAAGCGCGCTAGTTTTTTTTACGCGGGAGCGCACAGGGGTGTCTAGTGGACCCCCAAATAAAAATGGGTATATAAAAAAAAGTTTTTGATATTTAGCTCTTTAAACTTAAGACATAATATCTATATTCTTTTTCTCATATAGTTACATACATTTTATGATCCTACCATATCCTTTAACTATTTTAAAAATAATAGTTTGAACCCTTAATTTTTTAATGATGAAATGTAATAATGGTGTTAGAGAGGACAATCGTAGTTAACAAGTTTTTATTGCAAACAAATATTATTTTCAATTTTACAAAAGTATAATACTTTTAAAAAACCACGGAAGCAGTAAATATTTCATGAATTAATACATTTACTGGTTTGTAGAAAATACTTAACAAAAAATAAAATAAATTAAATGTTTTACTTGGTAATGTTTGTTTTTCTTTAAAAATCCTCGCCCAGTAAATATAAAATAAAATTGGTAAATTTTAAGAAGTCCTTTTAAAAACACTTTACAAATATTTTACTTTTGTCTCTGGCACATTAGTTTTTTTAAGGTTTTACTTTAAATTTAGTCTTTGCGTCTTTTTTACCAAGGCAGACGGTACACCGCGCCTTTTACCTGGGAGGCTAGATCAGTGGACGCATTGGTTGGACATTTCCATCCAATTGTTTTACAGATACTAAGTTTTTTGGCAAACTTTCAATACTATCAAAATTATAAATAATAAATTAAAAAAGTTATTAATATTAATTATGATAATAAAACTGAAACACCACTACGCGCACGGGAGTACATTAGACCCCCAATGAACACACTACTGGTAACACAAGCATGCGCGTGGGCAAGGCCACACTAAAAAAACAGGCCGTAATGCTCGTCAAGCATGACGTCAGGATAGAAGACGGCAATGACGTAATTAAGGTTATATTTTTGTTTTCGATGAAAAGATTAAAACAAGCAGCTGATCACAAACGGCAAACATTACGTCATTGCCGTCTTCTATCACGACGTCGTGCTAGACGAGCATTACGGCCTGTTTTTTTAGTGTGGCCTTGGCGTGGGGGTATGCCAGACCCAGGGTGGTGATAACAGGTCAATGACTCAGTCAAGACTAACAACCCTGCGGCCAGATGATAGCATATGCTATTTTAGGAAGCTACTGTTATGCTCACTAGGGTTGCCACCATACTTGTAAAATTATGACAAAACTACCACACGTGGGGATATGTCATACCCCCGTGCGCACGTTTAAGGGTTAAATAAAAAAACTTATTTGAAAAACAAAGTAGAGATAACTTGAGTGTTTGATTTATTTTTAATCCTACTAAAATGTGCACTTATAAGGTTATTTTAGACATAAATATATACTTATAGGTTAATGTAAAATCCTGTTTTTCTAGCCTATTTTATGTTAGAAGGTTATGGTGTTTTCCTACTTTTTTACCACATAGTTATAATATTCTTTAGAAATTTCAAAATAATTGATAAATGCATTGTACTTATGTACAGCCTGTTTTTATGTAAAGTAAATAAATGTATTGTTGTGTAAGGCCAAGGTGTTTGTTTTCTCATTTCTACCATGTCTTACTCTAAGCATTGTCAATTTGCCTTATTTTTTTGTGTGCACTGACATTTTTAAGTACATTCTGAATGTAAATCAAGTTGAATCCTTAATAGATGAGTGAACGAAGTGAACGAATCTATGTATCGTATATAGCGGAGTCGGAGAAAAGTTGTCCGCTGGAGTATGTGTGTGTGTGTGTTCGCACCTAAAACTCAAGAACCGTTGCACTTATAGCGTTCAAATTTTGCACAAATAGTCTTGACACCAGTGTAAAGACACCATTAAAATTCTAGACGATTCCGCTCATTAGTAATTATAAAATACTTAAAAAACATTTTTAAATTTGTCCCATAAGAATAACATTAGGAGCTACCTTCTTCTTCTTTTTATTTGTTTACGTTTTGCGACCAACAATTTTGTTGTCTACTTAAGACAGAGAGAACGACTTTTACTCTAAGCTCTTTCATTCATGGAGTAAACAGTTTGGCGTCTATGAATATATATCATTATAATTTCACAGCTTTCAGAATAATGTTATTTAAGCTAATTAAATCTCACAACTTTCATAATAAAAAATTGAACTTAACAATATTAGTCGGCAGTTATATACCGTTTATGTTCAGTATTAAAATTTCGCCTTTTAATTAATTTTAAACAAAGCAGCTTTTTACATTATTCAATTTAATGTTGGCATTGAATATTAAATATTCAAAAATATTGGTATATTTTTATACTAAAATGCTATGCGAAGGGGGGGGGAACAGGTCCCCGACGTAGAGAGTAGTAAAGAAAGCGGAAAGGTGAGCAGTGAAAAGAAAGGAGTACGGAAACCCTTTATGACTGTTAAATTAACGTATCTGTAATACTTAAATGCTATGGAAAGATAGGGAAACAGGTCTACGATGTAGGAAGTAGTGAAGGAAATAGTGAAGGAAGTAGTCAAGGCGAGCGCTGCGGAGTGTGGGGGGCCTTTATGACAGTTAGAATAATGTATCTGCAATTCTAAAAATGCTATGGGAAGGGAGAGAAACAGGTCCACGATGTAGGAAGTGGTGAAGGAAGTAGTCAAAGTGAGCAGTCCGGAGTGTGGGAAGCCTTTGTGACAATTAGAATAATGTATCTGCAATTCTAAAAATGCTATGGGAAGGGAGAGAAACAGGTCCACGATGTAGGAAGTGGTGAAGGAAGTAGTCAAAGTGAGCAGTCCGGAGTGTGGGAAGCCTTTGTGACAATTAGAATAATGTATCTGCAATTCTAAAAATGCTATGGGAAGGGAGGGAAACAGGTTCACGACACTTAGGAAGTGGTGAAGGAAGTAGTCAAGGCGAGCATTCCGGAGTGTGGGAACCCTTTGTGGCAGTTAGATTAATGTATCTACCATAATAAAATGCTATAGGAAGGGAGGGAAACAGGTCCACGACGTAAGAAGCGGTAAAGGAAGTAGTCAAGGCGAGCAGTCCGGAGTGTAGAAACCCTTTGTGGCAGTTAGATTGATATAACTGCAATTCTAAATTCCAATAGGAAGGGAAGGAAACAGGTCCACGACGTCGGAAGCGGTGATGGAAGTAGTCAAGGCGAGCAGTCCGGAGTGTAGAAACCCTTTGTGACAGTTATATTAATATACCTGCAATACTAAAATGCTATAGAAAGGGAGGGAAAGAGGTCCACGACGAAGGAAGTGGTAATGGAAGTAGTCGAGGTGAGCATTCTGGAGTGTAGAAACCCTTTGTGACAGTTAGATTAGTGTAACTGCAATTCTAAAATGCTGGGGGAAGGGAGGGAAACAGGTCCATGACGTAGGAAGCGGTGATGGAAGTAGTCAAGGCGAGCAGTCCGGAGTGTAGAAACCCTTTGTGACAGTTAGATTAATATACATGCAATACTAAAATGCTATAGGAAGGGAGGGAAACAGGTCCACGACGTTGGAAGTGGTAATGGAAGTAGTCGAGGTGAGCATTCTGGAGTGTAGAAACCCTTTGTGACAGTTAGATTAGTGTAACTGCAATTCGAAAATGCTATGGGAAGGGAAGGAAACAGGTCCACGACGAAGGAAGCGGTGATGGAAGTAGTCAAGGCGAGCAGTCCGGAGAGTAGAAACCCTTTGTGACAGTTAGATTAATATACCTGCAATACTAAAATGCTATAGGAAGGGAGGGAAACAGGTCCACGACGTAGGAAGTGGTGAAGGAAGTAGTCAATGTGAACAGTCCGGAGTGTCGGAAGCCTTTGTGACAATTAGAATAATGTATCTGCAATTCTAAAAATCCTATGGGAAGGGAGGGAAACAGGTTCACGACACTTAGGAAGTAGTGAAGGAAGTAGTCAAGGCGAGCATTCCGGAGTGTGGGAACCCTTTGTGGCAGTTAGATTAATGTATCTGCCATAATGAAATGCTATAGGAAGGGAGGGAAACAGGTCCACGACGTAGGAAGCGGTGATGGAAGTAGTCAAGGCGAGCAGTCCGGAGTGTAGAAACCCTTTGTGACAGTTAGTTTAATATATCTGCAATACTAAAATGCTATTGGAAGGGAGGGAAACAGGTCCACGACGTAGGAAGTGGTAATAGAAGTAGTCGAGGCGAGCATTCTGGAGTGTAAAAACCCTTTGTGATAGTTAGATTAATGTAACTGCAATTCTAAAATGCTATGGGAAGGGAGGGAAACAGATCCACGACGTAGGAAGTGGTGAAGGGAGTAGTCGAGGCGAGGAGTCCGGAGTGTGGGAACCCTTTGTGACAGTTAAATTAATCTATTTGAAATTCTAAAATGCTGTAGGAAGGGAGGGAAATAGGTCCACGACGTAGGAAGTGGAGAAGGATGTAGTCAAGGTGAACAGTCCGGAGTGTGGGAACCCTTTGTGAAAGTTAAATTAATCTATTTGAAATTCTAAAATGCTGTAGGAAGGGAGGGAAATAGGTCCACGACGTAGGAAGTGGTGAAGGATGTAGTCAAGGTGAACAGTCCGGAGTGTGGGAACCCTTTGTGAAAGTTAAATTAATCTATTTGAAATTCTAAAATGCTATAGGAAGGGAGGGAAACAGGTCTACGACGTAGGAAGTGGTGAAGGAAATAGTTGAGGCGAGCATTCCGGAGTGTAGAAACCCTTTGTGATAATTAGAATAATGTACAGTATCTGCAATTCTAAAAATGCTATGGGAAGGGAGGGAAACAGGTCCACGACGTAGGAAGTGGTGAAGGATGTAGTCAAGGTGAACAGTCCGGAGTGTGGGAACCCTTTGTGAAAGTTAAATTAATCTATTTGAAATTCTAAAATGCTATAGGAAGGGAGGGAAACAGGTCTACGACGTAGGAAGTGGTGAAGGAAATAGTTGAGGCGAGCATTCCGGAGTGTAGAAACCCTTTGTGATAATTAGAATAATGTACAGTATCTGCAATTCTAAAAATGCTATGGGAAGGGAGGGAAACAGGTCCACGACGTAGGAAGTGGTGAAGGGAGTAGTCGAGGCGAGGAGTCCGGAGTGTGGGAACCCTTTGTGACAGTTAGATTAATGTATCTGCAATAATAAAATGCTATGAGAAGAGAGGGAAACAGGTCCACGACGTAGGAAGTGGTAAAGGAAGTAGTCAAGGTGAACAGTCCAGAGTGTGGGAACTCTTTGTGACAGTTAGATTAACGTATCTGCAATAATAAAATGCTATGAGAAGAGAGGGAAACAGGAAATACGTTACGTATATTACCAATGACTTTGGTTAATTAATGGACGAGAAGTTAGGATTGTTGTTGACTGAGATTTGGTTTTTTTAAGAGGTTGGTCCAGCCTCTTTTAACCTCGCCCGTGCGTGGATCGTTTACAGCAAAGCAATTGGTGAGCCGGTACAGTACAAAGGTGAACTGTACTGATATAATTTAGTGGCACTGACCAGGATCCGAACTCACGACATCGCTGCCTTGGGCCCGAAGTTCGCGTGACGCTACCGACTTGAGTCACCAACTCACCATTATTTGCCCCGACTCATGGGTCGATTTGCCCATACAAATAACATTATTGTGTACACCAGTACGCCGGTAAGTGTGCTAGGTGTGGGTAAACTCTTTCATTATTGCGCTCATGTTCACTCATCCTGTTACGTGCAGAATAAGCGTACTACTAGTTGATACAGAAAGCTTTGACAATTTTATATCTGAGACTGCTGTAAAATAAAATGTTGTATTGGTAGCAGAGTGGTTTTAGTGCTTGCCTTCAAATCTGAAGGTCTCTGGTTCGATTCCAAGAAAGATTGTTACCTAACCCAGATGCCATTTGTCATTGGGCTATGAATCAATGATGTTATCTATCTAACAAATACCCGTGCCGCAGCAAACCTGCAGAGTAAGCAAATTTCCTTATTGGAATTTTTACTGAAATATTTCCTAATAAATGTCATATTTCTTCCCTATTTCAATAACATCAGGTTAACGAGTACTTAGGCTTGCTGTTACAGGGATGGTATTAAAGTGTTTTTGTAGTTCAATGTTAATAGTGTAGTATGAAATGTCATTAGATAATTTACTAAATAATTGTACTGAATTCATGAAAGGGTATTTGTATTTAAACAAAAACTCATAGTGGGGTCGTATAGCTGCATATAGTGGCAGAATATTTCAGTTCTGGCAGACAGGCTGCAATTTTAGGTGGTTATAGTATACAAGTTTCTGAACCTAAAACCGCCCAAACCCCAATTTTTAAGGACCTCGGTCGTCCGTAATGACGTCATCAAAATGGCGGCCGTAAGAGGATGCTGGGTCCCCATGAATTGGCTATAACGACCGAATGCCTGAACCGATTTTCATGAAATTTGGCACACAAGTCAAGCACTTTACATTATCACGGCCTGGGTTGAAAATGGTCAAGTTTCATCAAGTCATTTCAAAATGGCGGCTGATCAAAACTATAAAAAATTATGAGGAAAATAATTGTGAATTGTTTTATACAGGGAGAGTTTTAAAAGAGTTCCCCCCTACTTTTTATACATTTCTTAAGATATCAACTT